TTTCAGTTGAAAAACCACAAATCTTGTGGAAGGGACTCATCAGGATTTTCAAGTCCTTTATTTTATGAACAACATTAATTGTCTGCCACTCCAGTGGATTCTAATTCTGATACGATTTTGCCACTTACATTGTATATTGCCCATCTTTCTCATGCATGCTGCAATATCCAAGTATCCTCAATTTCCATTTGATGGAGATTTTTTGTTTTTCATACATAGCATGATAGCATCTACGTACCCCCACTTGGTCTTCCTTTTATTGGAACAAGTTAGCATCAACCCCTCACTTGGTCTTCCTCCCATCGGACAAGTTGTGTTTCTACCTGAATTTTCAATGTCATTTGTCCCGGCCATTTTCCATTTCATTCACACTGTTCTTTATCTAGGAAATTTCTGCATCTCCCATGCAATCATCCCTCTATAACTCGATCTTTTTTCTATAACTAGCTTTATCCACCCCACTTTATGGGGTGTGTGAGTGTATATAATATTAAAAAAGTTTAATTTAAATAGTTTTAGACCACATGCTTTTAAATTTAAAATTATTACTTTTAAGTCACATTTTTTGTTTAAAATTAATAATTTATATAATATATTTAATTTTTTTTTTGAACAGTGTGAAATCTTTTTTTTTTTTTTTTGGGGAAGGGGGAATGGGGGGGACTTGGGATTGATCTCAAGTCCTAGTAGTCCTACGCACGTCCCTTGCAAGGGAGTGGCCATTTGGCCACCAAATGCGGGACATATAATATATTTAAATGATATATTAGTTTTAGTAAATTTATATGATGTTATCTTGTTGAGTTTAGTTGGTTTATAAATTCTACACCTTAGTTTATGATTTTTCATGAATTTTATATAATTTTTATTATTTATTGACAAGAATTTGAACGTAAAAAAAGTTTCAGATATACTTAAGTGAAAATTTTTTAAAATTAAGGGATTAAATTACAAGAAAAAAGGTTACAATCACGGACCTCAGGAATAAATTTCAATTTCAAGTACCAAAGTGTTCATAAAGTAGGAAAAGAGGGACGCAGATGTGCCATTTTACCATTAAAAAAATTGCAAAAGATATCAAAACGCAGGCACGAGCTGGGTGCTGACATCATCTTTGTCGGTGTCGACACCATAGGTTAAGAATTTGATTACTCCATTTCGGTACTTAAGTGTCGACACCCATATTAGTGTCTATTCTTTTGCATCCTTGTCCAAACTTCTACAACATTGTCCAAATTAGCTATTCTTATTTTTTGAGACGTTAACAATTTAATATCTTAAGTCAGTCTCGGAAATAAAATTTGTCTGCCGATTAAGTACTGATATTTAATTAATTTTTAAATAATAAAATTAAAATATAATATTTTTCATTATAAACTTTTAAAATATGAAAATTTTAATTAGTTAAAAAATAATATCTTTGATTAAAAAAATGTTTTTTAATGTATTTTTGAAATCTTCATAATTGTCTGGAAATCAAGAAAATCTCTTTTTAATTGGAATTGGGTCTTCTAAAATCAAGTTTGTTTTACACTCTTAAATTTATAGATCAAGTTGTTTTATTTAGCTCAATCCTAAATATCCAGAAAATAATAATTTAATTGATAAAAAATTAATCTTACGTTTTTTTATTTCATTTGTTGTTGATTTAGGTTGTTGGCCTTGTTGAGGTATAAAAAGGTATGTTAATGAGGTTGAGATCTTTACTCTCTACTTACAATTTACATATCATAGGTTATACTCTATTTTGTAAAAGACATAATGAAATTTTGTATTAACATAGTTTGTATCAAGAATAAATTAAACCTCATATCTTATATAAAATTCATTCATTACACCATGTAATATAATAGCGATACTCTAAAATCATCAAAAGCAAATCATTTAAAGCAATAGCTTTTATTAACCCATATTGTAAAAGCAAAAATAAATAAAGAGTTTTTTAACTTGCCCTTAGGGTACAAGTTAGGAGTATTTGTTGAAGAATTTTTAAAATAGTTCCAGGATTTGGGTTCAAATCATAAAAAGTTGGTTCGAAGTAATTGCATAAAATGCATTTAAGTATAACTTTAGTTTGAATTATATCATTATGATTTCAACTATTTACGTAAAATCAGAGTTCAAAAAATATGATTTTGGTTCAAATCGCATTTATATGGTTCAAACCATTTACATCAGAAATAAAAAATAGAATCCTGATAAAATTTTGATAAAATTCTTAAGGAAGAGTGGATAACTTTGGAAGGTAAAGAAACACATGAGTTGGAATTCAAATTAAATCAAATGACTTTAATTTAGAAGAGTTTCCAACAAATAAAATTGAAAAGGAGTGTCTGTTTCCAATAGATATCTTGCCCCTATAAATATGGAGTATCTCTTCTTCTTCTAATTCATCTTTTGAACTCAGAAACAAATTTCTACTATTATCTAAATAAAATAGCCCTTTTTTGTACTACGATTGCTATAAAAATCCATGTACAAAAATTATTGTTTTGTTGCTTTTCAAAGGATAGTTTAGTGGTTGATCTTGTTAGTGCAAAGGTAAAATCAACAAGGCACTTTATTGTATCTTATGGGTATTTCGGTTTACCTCTTTTGCATATTAGATCTGGTAGGGGCAAAATTAATGTAAAGGAAAGTGGTATCTGTAACACACCTTAAGCCATTTGTAAATTTTCTACCCTATTTCTCCAACAGTATTTTTTACTATAAATATATATTGAAAAATATAAAAATTGATATTAATTTTAGTGTTGGTGTTAAATAAGTGAATTTAATTAAATAATTGATAAATTAAATGTGATTTTTATTTTTTAATATAAATTTATAAAAAA